GCTATTCTATCATTCCACTGACTATGGTACTGGATTAAAGGTTACTGATTATATGTACTATTTTACCTTGCCCCGTAAATTTCTTAACTCCTCCGTGTTTTTTGCATAAAAATGGGCATGTGGTATGTCATTACATGCATGTACGGAGTGATGTTGGTCTTCTTATACCCTTCACATTCACCAGCAAGTGAGTTGAAGAGGACTATCCAATGTTTAGCCTGCAGCAAAATATATAAAGTAATAGTATACACAGAGTTAAAGTGAAATGTAATCACAATACATTTGAATAAAAAATACCTTTTCAAAAAATGTCTGAATGTATTCATCAGATGGGTCTGATTCACCAAGCATGGTGTAAAGCTCATGAAAGTTCTGAAAATATAAGTCACTTCAACAGGTTAGTAAATTCACATCTATTCATATCAGCATTCATTTGATGATGCTGTACAGTATATTATCAGAATATTATTACCAACCTCCCAAATTTGCACAATTGTGTTACAGCTTTTTGGCTTCAAAATGTCTTTAAGCTTGGGAGGTAGTTCTTTCATGAGAATTTTTTTATCACTTCCCATCAAGCTTGTGAATTCAAAGAGACCGCTAGCTTTGCCGTCAGCATTCTTCTTTTCCCATATGTTAAAAGATATACCACAGCTGGCAATTGCTTGTTTTAAAGCATCCACATGTGCAGTCGTTCTTTGACATGGTGCCTTGTTAAGGTTTTCTTTGTGGTCCCAGGCAACAGCTTCATCAACCAGGTTCTTAGTTAACACATCTGCCAATTGAAAAAAATATGTGCTTGTATAAACTGACAGTAGCATCCTCTTCATTAGATTACTTCTAAAGCCATATCAAGCTGCAATACAACCAAATTTTGCACCCTACCTTATATACTGTAGCTTTTTCTAACATAATTTATTATATGCATCAATGTTCATACCTGTAACTCTGAGCATTAGGTGTAATTCGTCTGGGACAACATGGTCCAGTGAAATGTTCAACAGAGGCCTATGAGCACACGAATACTTGTTATTTTTGGCATTCTCCTTGATGCTTTCTAATGTTCTCTTCAGTGGTTCCTCACAATAATATTTTAGTTCCTTTGACATATCATGTCTAAAATGAAACAAATTAAAAGTTGGAAAAGTAAATTATTATCAGACATCCAGAGCTTTAAATTCATGGAAATTTATGTAGTTCTGCTGACTGGGTGGACATGTTTGCCACAGCCCACATATAAAGATCTCTATTACCTCACCTGTCATGTTTATGAATTAGGCACCAAAGGCATGAAAAATCAGATGTAGCACATTTCATGCCCATTATGATCAGAAGGAACTACAACAACAGAAATTAAAACAATATGAAATATATTGAATTATATAAATAAAGAGAATTATTCTATTCAACAGCAGACAAGGGATAATGTTCGTCATCAAAGTTTCTAGTGAAGAATTAGTATAATTACATAGGTGATTATTGAAAATTCTTAATGCTGATTGGCTGTGCTTGAGGTGATTATTACAAGATAATCACCTAATGCCTATTGTCAGATTTAGGTTCCAAATTTTGCCTTTTCAAACATTTGCACCTAGTACCTATGTAATTATACTAAAACAATTATTCACCTCAGGCTCTGTGAATATTGGAGAATAAAAACCTCGACCTTGTCTCGGTTTTTGTTTACCATTTATTCACTTCGCCTTCAATATATACCTTATAGTCACCCCAAGGTATATCTCAACAGGAATCTGCAAACCATCAATATCAATTTTTCCATCTTGCAAAATCTTGTTCACCTCTGAAAAAAACTCTGAGCAAGATGTTTTAAGGAGATCATAGCTCTCTTCACCTTTAATTACTGCCACTGTATGATTCCCTAAATGTAAACAAGGGGGTATAAATCAACATGGTTTTTTCGAAACCAGTTTGGTATAGCACAGGGTATTGGAAAAATTTGCAACAAGTGGTCAAACAGAATATTAAGCGTACTATCATATCATTATGGTAACAACACTTAACTTAAGGTCTGCTGACTCACCCTTAGATGACATGACATCATCGTTGTCCAGTAGTGAAAAGGACATGATAACGAAATTTGTGAGCCTGGTCATCTGTGCTCCGTCTCCACTAATTTTTACTTTTAGCTTGTTAGTGGGGTCCTTAAGGAATTCAGCCAAGTCAATCTAAAAAAGAAACAAGACAAATTAGCATAATCATTAACTGGCAAGATCCAACCCTTGATGAGTAAATTTGTCTTGGGTCAGACACACACAGATACAGTGAGATACAAAAGTAAGGTAAATTAGGGCATAATTCCTGTAAATAGTTTTATACACTTTATCCTTGTGATATTAACAAAGAATCTAGCAGTATGGGAATTTCTGGACATGTTAAAAATTGAATTAACCTGGTAGTCTGCAACTCTCCCTAATAATTAAAATTGGCATTAGACATGGTAAACTTTAGAGCTACCGTGTAGCAGGGCCGTCGGAAGGAATCACCGATGGGGGGTGGGGGGTTAATAGAAATCAATATATGACATCATGTTTTGATGTGATACCATTGTTCTAGGTGATTATATTGACTGGCCTGTGTAGCGTGTACTTCTGACCAGCCTGTGTAGGGTGCATTTGGGCACATTGCAGCCTAAGGGGGTAACCTAAAATATCAGTACATCCTTCAGTATCATACCTGCTTTTTTATCTGCTCCTGTAACTCTCTCTTGAAATCAAGCTGTGCTCCATCGGCTTTTCCAGGAGTTCTTGAAATATGACAAAGCTGGTCCATAGCATGTTTGCACTGTTTCACAAGGTATGACCTTGGTAGCTGTTCACCACCGTCCATCATCGTTAGCTCATGATAGGCTGCCTCCCCGATGCAAAATTTATCTGTTATAAACAGAATCTGTTGAATTTTCTCTTGGTCGTCTTCTGGTAAATCCTTGAAGGATCTTTTTTCCTGAGCTTGGTATTTATACTCCAATGGGTGACATTTTCCATCATCGTCTTGGAAGGTCACAGAGCTAAGCTTTAAACCAAATGTTTCAGTAAACCACAAGGCTGTCTGCACTTTAGTCTTCAGTTCTTGGATCTTACGGCGCTGTTGCCTTTCCTTTAAATCTGGTATTTTCTTACCCAAATTTTCAAACTTTGACAGCTCTTCTATCTTTTCAACATACTCGTAGAGGTGCAAATTTTCAGCCTTCAGTGTTTCCAAGTTATCACTGTATTCCATAGCATTCTCTTCTGCACATTTTCGTGAGGTCTTTTCTTGTAATAAACTCTGATATAAATTTTCACAGCGCTTCTGCAGATTATCACGCTCCTTCTCCACCAGCGTAACCTTTTCACTAGCTATGGACAACTTTTCTTCTGCGTGATAGAAGTTCTCCAGTTCGTGCCACCGTACACTGAAATTTCGTTCGGCAGAGGCGATCGTTTCATATTTTCTGCCGCTTTTTCCTTTAAGATACCCGCGTACTTTTGAACATAGATTAAGTAAACGGGTTTCCATTTGATTTGTAGATTTGACTTTGTTGGGCATTCCATTTGATTTCAAAGTTGAATTGAGAATATCGACGTACGAAACACCGGGAATGGTGTTCTTCAATTCGTCCCAATTCTTGATGCATCTGTTCGTCAATTTAATGTTGAAGGCTAATTCTTCACTGCTAATACAGCTCCTTTGAATATATTGTGGGGAAAAGCATTGGTGGACTCCGATGTCATTTACATATTTTTGAATACTGTACAAATCTAACTCGTCCGACATAGTTTTGCAAATGTTCGCGGGTTTTTTGTATAATTTGTTTGGCAATCCGACACCGGAAGTAAACAATCATTTAAATAAATCTGCTGACCAAAGGGACAGCTGTATCATAATCCCAGATTGGTGAAAAGAGCTTTTCCTCCTGAACATTTTGACACCAAATACGCTATATGTCGTTAAATATTTTGAGAGAAAAGCGTGAAAGTTTGATAGTAACGCACAAACAAGAAGTAGCAAAACGCAGTGCTCGCTACTTTTCATTTTAAAGATGGAATTTACAAAACAACCCATCTTAAAACCGAAAAAGGAAATACTTTTGGAGCACTGGATAGCTGAATAACTGTTGATCAGAGGGAACTCCATAGCTACTGTAAGAATTAATTTGGGTAATATTGACACGGTAAGTGAGAACGGAACAATCGCTTAATGAAATGAGGTTGTCAAACCTGATTGAAGAGAATAACAAGCGACATATGCGAAAATAATGAGCCTTAGTTGCTCAAAAAATATACGAAATGGAACGGTACCCACTACTAATTTCAATGTTATTTACCTTTAGACAGGGCCAAAAGACTTCCATAAAATATAAACGATTTGGGTAATTTATATAAATGAATGAAATAGATTTATATTTGATATTATTTCGTTAGTTCATATTAATTATCAGGAAAAATGTTTATTATTTTATTTTGCAAATGGTCGGTCTGCTGACGTACTGCGGGCTCGCGCGACCTATATTTCTGGCCATGTATATTTATAAAACTTCAAGCAATTTGAAATTCACAAGTAAACAAAAAACGTTTAATATATATTAACATGCAAAACTACAAGGAACTTATTATATCAACTATATTATAACTGCAGACGAAAAATGCAAGTGTGGAAAACACTATATTTTGTTTAAATATACTCTAACAAAATAATAAAACCCAATTACAGCAAGATATAATGTTTTCCACACTTGCATTTTTCGTCTTATACAATCTATAAAACATGTAACTCGATATTAACAACAACAACAAACTTGTCCAGACATAGGTTGCAACTTCACCAACTTGCAAGATAAAATAGCTATGTAAAATAGTCATATGTTTACCACTTTTAAGTTGCGATACATTGTTCGTGTCCAGATTAACTAGACGTTTTAGGTGTATTGAACAACAAAACTTATAATCTAAGAGAATGAATATAAACTTGATCCATAGCTAACAACAACACAGTCAAAGAGTTATGTCTTTACCATATTTTCCTGTTCATATCCAGACATAGTTCTTACTGGCCAACTACTTTCATTTCCACAACCAACTTGTCCGTTGATAATATCTTGAACGAAACTTTCTTGATTAAAAGAAGCGTATCCGTAATCATGTTGCGTGACAGCTGGCCAACATTTGACTCAGAAATATTGTAATTTTCCGTTTCTGCGACCGATTGGAACATCACGTTCAGCACATTCTCTTGGCAATAAAACCGACCCAAATTTTTCACCACTTTCATCAACAATGATAACACTCCCGGAAACAGTCGAATCCAAGTTCTCTTTCAGCATTCTTAGTTTGCATGGTGAATAATCGATAAATTCACCATCGTCGTCGCTGTCGTCGGCGGATGCAAGTCCATTTTTGCAGTTCATGCAAAGAAAAAACTTGTTGACGTCAACTGCCACTATTCGGCCAGTAACATCTTGTGTTTCTTTCTTCTTTGGTTTTAGCTGTTCCGAGGCCGCTGAACTTTCGACGGACAAGCTTACATCTTCGCATATCGTGACCGTACAATCCTTTGTCCCATTCAAGCATTTTCTTTTATACAAGCCGACCTTCAGGTTGGACCACACGTATGACTTTTGGTCACAAACATGAGGAATCGTATCCTCCCAAATGGTGGCTATAATTGCTCCAGTGGAATCAGCTAACACTATCTCGCATTTTGTAAGCTCCTTTCTCATGCTGCGCGAGTACACAGTTTCCATTTCCCCTTTCCAAACGACTTTGGCTTTTACTGACACAATGTCGCCAGTTGTCATTGTATCATATTTGTCCTGCACTGTGAGTTGTTTATTGGGTTCTGACATGTCTGCCCATGGAAACGTCGAGTTCTTCGTCACCATTATCTTGGATTGATTGGTCAGCTTATATTCTGTGGAGTCAGGCTCGAACAGTTTTCGTTTCTGTGGGCTAACGTTCAACAACCGAACTGGTGATTTGCATTCTTCCTTTTCTTTAATTGCATCACGCTTTTCAGGAGAAAAGCATACAGCTCGCCGTTTTTCGTCCCTCTCCTGGATTTTAAAATCAAAATAACGGACCCCTGATGGTGAACTCTTGACCTCAGACACTGCATGAAAGTAACCGTCTACATTTGCTAACTTTTTCCCTTCGCTTGATCTGCTTGCCATTTTTATCAACCACGCACATATATTAAAACTAATTCAAGCGTGACACTCCTGACTGAGACAAAAGCTGAAACTACAGAATAACTCAATAACATTCTTGCATCATTGCATGGTGCTTATATAGCTATCACGTGATATTGTCACAGGGAAAAATCCCGGGAAATTACGGGAATTTAACATGGCATGAACATTGCCTGCACGTGATCATAAATCACGCGGATATATAAAATATTTTAAAAACTTTATACTTCAAAATTACGGAAATAATGTTAATGTAAATACTGATCTACAACACCTTCGGTACAAAATTGGTTTAGGATGCTTAAAGCATGTTCATTTTTAGTGATTTTAAATGTCCTTGGTGAGATTACTCTCAGTACTCTTACTGTAAGAGATCACGTGATAAGCTTCCGTAAACATGTCATGTTATCACATGATGCCGACGTCAGCTAAAAATCAGGCTAAAAATAACACCAGACAGAGCTTTCACGTTTATAAGGATTTCTCCTTGAAAACAGGAATTTTGCCAGCCTCGTTGAATTTTCCATAGTTTCAAGGCTTTTTTAATTTGATTTTTCAAATAAATTTAACCTTAGTATGAACATTTAGACAGTCGTGACTGGTGTTTCTGGGACTCAAATATAATTTTTTATAAATGAAGTTATTAAATTGAGTTTAAAACCGAGTTTGTACAAACTGAAGGAATTTTTGGGAAAATATAAGGAATTTCATAACTCATGGCAAGGATTTCCAAAAATTGTTCGTCTGACCACAGATTTTACCCCTGCACTGCCACTTGAAATTTGGATTTTGCCGGGACACAGTCTAAATAGTATATACTTTCGTATTTTCTGTAAACTGTAATGAAATATGCCTTTGATTTCTCCTACTTTTGGTAAACGTAATCCCTTAAATCGCGAGGGATATTCAAGTCGAAGCGAAAGGCCTGTCGACCAACGAGTCGAGGATAATCCCTCGAATCGCCAGGGAGCTTCGGGTAGAAGCAAAAGGCGACCAGGTAGCGACTGTGCTATCGACACAACCTTGACTCATCAGGTTAGCATTTCTGATGCAAAAGACGAGGAGATATCAACAAATATCGCCACAAACCACATTCACAGGTTTACCACAACGGTGCAAAAATGTGAATCAAACTATCAAACAAATTCAAATCAGCAAAACATCCTCAAACAAAACTTATCCAACAAGTTAACAAATATGTACACAAATCGTCAGTCAATTGCTGGTAAATGTTGCTTAAACCTAAAATGTCACACAAGTAACAGTACTGTAAACCAAGATCGTTGTCATGTAGGCTACGTAAAAAAGGCACGAGATCGCGACATTCACTGTTTTATTCTGATAACAAACAGGCGTTACAGACCTGTTGTCAGTTTCGCTATCATCAACATCGTCATCGTGACCATGAGCCCAGTAGAATTTCAGTGAAACAGTTACGCCGAAAATTAAAATTAATTAAAAAATGTCAATTATTATTTAAAAAATGTATTATAGTTAAAAACAATAATAGGCATAGGCTCAAAGGTTCTGTACCTAGATCTTCTCAACTTCATAATATTGTACGGAATTGTCGGAATAAACATATTAACCAAATGACTTTACGGTGTTATCCTGATCTTACCTGTACAATGTCAATGTTGACTAAAAAAAACGGACACAGAACAAAGTTAACGGCAAAACATATCAGATTGAGTGCTCCACACTTTTATAATTCAGGCACTAGCCGTGATCTAAATTTTCTACACGAGTACAAAAATAATAATCACATGAAAAATGTCTGTCGATTTGCATTATGTAACGATATTGAGACAAATCCTGGACTGGCCATATTCCATATTGATCCTAGCAAGACAGTAAGTGCGCCTTATAATCAGGGTAATCAAATTATGTTTGGCGAAACAGCAGGGCAACAATGTTTGGCCATGTGTTTGTGTGCTCTTATATACAACAAAAGATAGGAGATCACCGCAAGACCTCATTCAAGTAATGAATATTGGCAATGAACTGTACTCAAAATTGTCACATTTAGCAAGACAATCATTTCTAATGTTTAGTGAGTTACCTTCTTATCTCACTGTATTTGACACAGTGAAAGCTATAGCGGTACAGTAATTGGAGACTGTTGCATTGAAGGGTATCAATACTGTGTACCATTTCATAGAGCATTTGAATTACTATTCACTGAAGGCTATACTGCATTTATATTAACAATTGACTCCAATGCTGTTTGCGTATACTCAAGCATTGAGGGCAAATTTAAAATTTTTTATTCCCATTCAAGAGATAAATATATGGCAGAAGTCACCCACTAGGTACATGTGTACTGTTAGAAGCAGAAAGTATCAACAATGTTATTCAACATTTTCAATCTTTATGTAGTGAAAATAGTCAATTTGAGCAGAAAGCAGTAGTTATTGAAGAACTAGAACAAGTCAATGCCAGTGGCAGTGTTGAAATGAACGTAACAGACAGTATTGGAAGTATGGCTGATCTATTGGATACTTTCTCACAAGAAAGTCAAATTACTGACAGCTCATACCCGTGTAAACAATGCTCAGCAATTTCACTGTATTCAATTTGTTACTCTATTATTAAACCAAGTAATTACTGGGATTCAAAAACAGTAGCTGCAGTTGTTTATTTTGGCACTGCTTTGTATAACAAAACTGGTACAAATACATCGAGTAATCTACCTAAAGGAATTGAGATATGTGGAACTGAAGTACATGTTAAGTTTCAAGCTAATTATCAAGGAAAAGTGAATGTAGAGACAGAAAGACAAAAGATCATTGAAAGTCTTATATGCCATAAGCATGGAATCACAGGTTTTTAATTTGGCTTGGAGGATATTGTATGTCTTGCATTTTTCAAGAAACATCAAAGAATAAATCGTACTCAATATTAGCATACGATGACAATAATACCTCACCAACTGCAGCTGCGCACTTTGTGAAGAATATAGGTGATAAGAAAACTCTAGTTGATGTTATCTTTAACTTAGCACATACAAAAATTAAGGAGGAAGTTATTTATTATGAAATTCAATATTTGTCTTGCTCTTCTCGAGTGACAGACAGTGAAAGAAAAAGCACTGTCAGAAGACACAACCGGAAATACAATAATCAAATAATGGCACAGGCCAAAAAGGATCAAAAGCTTGAAATGAGGCGAACGAGACGACATCTTACATGTAAACACTTAAATCAGGATTACAGAATTATTGATAACCAAAAAAAGAAAAAAATATTAGAAAGTAAAAGAGCGAAATACCAAGCTTTGGACGAAACAAGCAAACAGGAATTGTTAAAAAAAGAGAGGAATCATTACAAGGAACGGAAACAAAAATTATTAAAAAACAAAAGAACGAAATACCAAACTTTGGACGAAACAAGCAAACAGGAATTGCTAAAAAAACAGAGGAATCATTACAAGGAACGGAAACAAAAATTATTAGAAAACAAAAGTGCGAAATACCAAACTTTAAATGAAACAAGCAAACAAGAATTGCTAACAAAAAATATGAACTCTTACAAAATAATGGAAGAGGTACAAAATAAAAAAATATTAGAAAGTGAAAGAGAGAAATAACAGGCAATGGATCAACCAAGTAAAAATGAGTTGGTTTCAATACATTCCAACGAAATCATGGAAAAGCACATGTCATTGGATGAAAATCAAAAAACAGTTGTGCTGAATAAAGAGAACGAAAAGTGCTTGGAAAAGATATCTCAACTTCAAGACATTGAAGCGTGCATTACAGTATTTCAAAAGAAGATCAAAGCTGGACCATTTCATATATGTTGTGTGTGTAACCGAACATTGTATAAAAAGTCTGTACTGATCTTACAAAAAGAGAAATATCCTTGCCAAGATTGTTTTGTTATTCAACCTTCTTTTGATTGCAAAGAGTACATCTGCAAAACTTGTCACTCTAAATTAATAAAAGGTCAGCAGCCCTGTCAAGCCGTGATTAATAATTTGTTTGTTGATGAAACCCCAGTGGAGCTTGCTACATTAGAGAAACTTGAACAAATTCTTATTGCACAGAGAATAGTTTTTGAAAAAATTGTAGTAATGCCGAAAGGACAACAAAGAAAAATTAAAGGTGCAATATGCAATGTGCCAGTTGAATGTAGTCAAATGTGCAATGTTCTTCCCAGACCACCTGACAGATCTGGGATAATTTTACTTAAATTAAAAAGGAAATTTCAATTTAGAGGTCATGTTTACTTCCAAGCAGTTCGCCCTCAGATTGTAATTAATGCATTAAACTGGCTTGTCGCAAACAATCCTTTATACAAAAATATTCAAATTAATTGTGCGATTATCAGCTCAGATTTGACAAATTTGAACTGTCCTGCAACTGATCAAGAAAATACAGACGAACCATCACAATCACAAACACAAACAAATGCTATTAAAAAAGTGATCGATGACGAGCCTGAAGAGCACGACGATCCATTAAATGAACACCGCTCAGCTGCAAGTGAAACATGTCTTCAATCCATTTTGCCAAATTATCCAGTTAGTGTTGAAAATACAGACTGTGATAATTCAACAGGAAGAGAGGTTTTCAACATTGCACCTGGTGAAGGTAAACACCCTGTATCAATGATGACTGATAAACTTTGTGAGGAACTTTCATTTCCAGTGCTATTTCCCAAAGGAAGATTTGGCTACACTGCTGAACGAGACATGAAGTTATCTCCAATAAAGTATTTCAATGCTCGACTCTTGCATTACAGTGGAAAATTTGCGACTAATCCAGAGTATCTCTTCTATGCCCAGTTCATTATGGGACAAAAAAAGATATCTGATAGTATTAACATAGCTTTAAAAAAAGTACATGGTCAGTCAGTCACAGCATCACAAGTAAAATCAAACAGTCAAGCTTTTCAAAATCTTCTTTTGCAAGATCAAGCATATTTGTTTTTACGACAAATTCCCGGCTCACCTCCTTACTGGCAAAAATTCATGTATGAAGTGGTAGCAATGGTTAAACAGCTGGGAATACCAACATGGTTCATGACATTATCGTGTGCAGATTTAAGGTGGCCTGAGCTATTTCAGATTATCGCTAAAACAAAAGGAAATGACTTAACAGATGAAGAAGTAGAGGCACTATCCTATCATGAACGATGTTCAATGCTTAATTTAAGTCCAGTTATTGTCGCAAAACATTTTCAATACCGAGTCGAAACATTATTCAGAGACGTTTTGCTCACAAATACAAACCCAATTGGTATAGTGAATTTCAAATGAGAGGTTCACCACATTTACACGCCTTAATATGGACATCTGACTGTCCAGAATTAACGAGCAATACAAAAGATGCGTACATTGATTACATTGACCGAAATGTACAAGCATACCTACCAGACAAAGAAACAGATCCTCAACTTTATGATTTAGTAAAAACATACCAGACCCATAATCGCAGTAAAACCTGTAGAAAATATAAGAATGTTGCATGCAGATTTAACTTTGGACACTTTTTTACAGACCAAACAATTGTTGCTGAACCTTTAGCTGAAGATATGGATGACGAGATTAAGTCGAATATTCTTACAAGAAGACAAGAAATATTGTCTAAAGTTACACAGAAAATTGACAATGTGCTAAACCCAAGCAAACCTACATATGAGGGCACATGCGACTCCAAATGACATTTTAAATGATATAGGTATTACAGAACAAGATTATCAATGGGCTATATCAATATCTCCAGATTCTGACTACGAATTGCACCTCAAAAGACCATTAGACAGTTGTTTTATCAACAATTATTTTATTGCTGAGTTAAAAGGCTTTGCCGCAAATGTTGACTTGCAGCTTGTGTTTAATCATTATAAGTGTATCACATACGTCAGTTCTTACTTTACAAAGGATGAAACTGAATGTTCTCAAGCCATAATAAATGCAGCAAAAGAAGCTAAAGAAGCTAATTTAAGTGTAAGAGATGGACTGAGAAAAATAGGTGCAGCTTTTCTTTCAACTTGTGAAGTCAGTGCTCAAGAGTGCATTTACCGATGCATGCCTGAACTCTGGTTAAGAAAATATTCCTGAAAACCCTTTTTGTTAGCACAGATTTTCCTGAAAATCGCATAAGAGTAGCAAAGACTCAACGGGAACTCGATGAGTTAGATGATGATAGTACTGACATTTTTAAGTCTAATATCATTGTTCGTTACAGTTACAGACCAAAAACCATTCCTGTCATTAATAATATGTGTTTGTCACTATTTGCCGCACACTATTTCAAAGATTACAAAACTGATTTTGATGAGGTATCTGATTCTCAACCTGAAGTGCTTTGCGACGATCTGATTGAATCCAAAAATATCGAGAATTTTAGCACAGGACTTCCCGATAGAATAAAACTTACGAACAGCAAAGAAATAATGAAGTGCAGAAAAGTGAAAGCCGTTATACGATATCACACTCCAAACAAAAGAAAGGAACCTGAAAAATACTTTCACCACCTTCTTATGACCAGGAAAATGAAGACTTGAGACAAAGTTTGCCTGACGATTCGGATGAAACAGACTCATTTAACAAATCGTTGCCCCAACATCTTACATCAAATCCTGAATCGGTTCAACCATCCTCGGGAATAATTGTTACAATCAACCATCAGATGTAAGTGATGACGATCTTCGGGAAACGGTTAGATCTTTGAACAACGAACAACATTATACATATGATCAAATTCTTTCCTGGTGTAGAAGTAAAATGGCAAATCTAAACACTCTTAAACCTTCTCAAGTAGATCCGATACATGTTTTTGTCACTGGAGGTGGAGGTGCAGGTAAATCACACCTAATTAGAGCTATATATCATAGTGTTACCAAAACATTCAGACATGCCCCTGCTAATCCTGAATTACCGTCTGTTTTGCTGACAGCTCCAACCGGTGTAGCTGCCATAAATATTAACGGAACAACCGTACACAGTGCTCTGGCAATTCCAAGAGAATGCGGCAATAATGTCCCTGCAATGTCTGATCAGAAAAGAATGCAGATGAGACTGTCCTTGGCTGAATTGAAACTAATCATAATTGATGAAATTTCAATGGTCTCAAACATGAGTTTGCTTCATATTCATCAAAGATTGAAAGAGATATTTGCTACACCTAGTAGTGAACTTTTTGCGGGAATTAGCATACTTGCAGTCGGCGACTTCTACCAGCTACCACCAATTCGAAGTGGAACAGCCTTTTCGAATTACAAGAATGATTCATTTAATCTCTGCCATCCATGGCATGTATTTAAAATGACTGAACTAGAACAGATAATGCGACAAAAAGATGACCTCGCTTTCACTCAACTATTAAACAGAGTGCGCACTGCATCACACAGATGATGACCTAAGGTGTATTGAATCCAGAGCAATAACTCCAGGTGATGAGAATTATCCATCAGACGTACGCTTTACATATTTTTGCACAAAATGCACCAGTACATGAATACAATATTGATCGCTCAGAACAAATTCAATCACTACAATACATACTGAAAGCTTTAGATCAATTCCCTCCTCATGTTAGAAAACAGGATATCGAAAAAGTGTTATCTAAAGGAAGATCCAAAACTGGAGGACTTGACACTGAAATTGTAATCAAAGAAAATGCACGAGTTATGCTCACGACGAATGTCGATATCAGTGATCGATTAATCAATGGCCAGTTAGGCACAGTAATCAGAGTTACTGTTGACAATACTAGCAATAAACCCTCTACTATTTTTGTTAAATTTGATGACTGTAATGCTGGAGCTTCCGCTATTCGAAAATCATCCAGTTCTTTTGCAAGAGATAATCATGCTGTCCCTGTTCAACCTGTCTTAGTGAGAATTAAAGTCAGGCCTGGAAAACCATCATCTCCAGAGATACAAAGATTGCAGTTTCCTTTAACTCTCGCATGGGCTTGCACGTACTGTGCATAAAGTACAAGGATTAACTCTCGATAACATTGTCGTCAGTTTTGATTTAAAAAGACGAAAGTGTTTTAATTTTGGTCAAGTGTATGTAGCACTAAGTCGAGCAACATCTTTAAAAGGCTTGCACATTTTGGGAACTCTTGAAAGTAAACACATCCGAGCCAATCCCAAAGTCCAGGAAGAATATGAAAGATTGCGTGAAATTTCCAGCTTCCACAAAGCAACAGATATATGTCACAACGAATCTCTATCTATTTGTATCTTAAATATAAGATCACTTCAGAAACACAGTCGTGACTTAAGTAGTGATCCAATCTTGTCAAAATGTGATGTACTCACCCTTACTGAGACACAGCTTTTGTGCAACATACCAAATGATGAAATGAGCTTAATTCTTAAGGATTTCTCTTTGCATAGACAAGACCATGCTTTTGATAAGTTCTTAAGTTTGGCCATTTGCTACAAAGAAACTATTACACTGTGTGAAACAGAATATTTTAGTTCAATAAATGGTTTAAAATTTTCAATTAACCTCTCACGTGAGAATATTTTATCGTGTCTATTACTTTATCGTAAGCACGGAGTTAACATTCAGCAGTTCATATCTTGCCTAGACTACATAATCAGAAGCTGTAATTTCGACCTTATATTTGGAGATTTTAATATTGATTACTTCAATGAAAAGACTATTTCTTCATTGAAAGAGCTCACCGAATCTTTAAATTACGTGCAACTTGTAAATAAACCAACATTTGTTTCATCTGGAAGTCTCCTCGACCACGTTTATGTAAAACAGTCAATGAGCAGCAAAATAGAAGCAAACATTGTAAGTGTATATTATTCTGATCACGAGGCCTTTAAGGTAACTATAAACTTTTAGTACGTACTTTACATAATGTCAATTTGCTTTTAATATGCACACGAAATGAACCGGTACAGTATATTAACAACCAACTTCATAACATTTCAACCATGCACAGTCGCATATAGAATCAGTATAGCTGTGCTATTAAAATGGATAAATTAGTTGATGCATAAAAATTGTTGGAATCTCTCAAATACGAAGCCAGTCAACAAGGAGACTGGCATGGCCATGGGGATTCTGGTACATGGATTCCCAAGAAGTGACTTGAGGAGTCTCCTACAATTTCATGCAAAGAAGGTATGTGCAGCAATTTTTGAATATACTTACTAGAAATAAAATCTTCACTAATTAGACAGTTAAGTAGCTACACTCAATTTTGTATAACCCAGAATGTCTTATAATTACATTTTTTAGAATGAAAAGGTCAAGGTTGAGACAGTTCAAAAAATTCTCACCGTTACAAGTAAGCTGTACAGGTATGTCTAAATATTGCTTTCATCAGTTTCTTGTTTAATAGTGTTCGTATATTTCGGTTGCGTCGAATGCAATTCAAACAATAGATAATGAAACTTAATGAGGTTTATCATCTCATTATCTATTGTCTTAATTGTATTCGAGGCGACCAAAATTGACGTATAGAGCGTTTGCACTCATTCACCAGGGACCAACTGAACAAAGCCATAGCGGCCATGTTGGTGTTCCAGGTTTCTAATTAAAATTCTTTTGAATTGGAACACAACATGGCGGCTGTGACGTCATGTGCAAACGCTCTATAAAACGGGTCTTAGACAAGGTCAAGATTATTTTTCATTTGTTGTTAGGTTATTTTTTATTTTTCACACAAACATTTTATAACAAACTTCTTTCTTTTGCAGCCGGAAAAGTTCAACACAGAAAAGAAATAATTGCCATAACGTAAACAATGTTGATACAATATCTCTGATACCTGGAATACAACGCTGTTGCAACCGTCCGGAATGGAACTGTGACTGTGTTTATTGCATCACTACTGTTTTGTTTACACTGTTCATGTGTTTCCACTGGACATCACTACTCACATATACACATTGTAGCTACTGATACTGCTTAATACTGCAACTGGAACGAAATTCATGGGTGTCCTGATGTGCTAGCTGCTATGATGATCGGCATATCTATTGGCTTACAAGAACTTTCCACATTTGGGTTGTTTAGATGCAAGATTTGTTTAAAAAGTTACAAGAACTTGTCGCAATATATAAATGCAGCTCAAATCCAAACTATGTGCATTTGTAGTGATTGTTTGAAAACATTTGGTTCAAACTACACATACCGAATCACTGTTTTTATAAAAAAATCTATCGTACTTTATGGAATTTCGACGTGTATCTCTTCTTGCGTATGTTGCAAGCTGAACTGTCTCTTCATATTTCGTTTCATCTCATTGTATCCTCAGTAAAATCTTATTCGAAACTGTGTTTAAGAGCTCATAATTATCTGTATTGCTGTAGAAAAATAGAAATATATTGACGTAAAACGTATCCATACCAAATACACGGAGCGAGAAAACTATACTTTGACCACAACGTACACTCGATTCGTACAGACGTGTGTTTTTGAGCTCCTCTCAATTATGTGTTCTACAACAGTTAGCAACGTATTGTACGGCTATTTTGGCCTTAATAAAAGTAAATTGAAATGGTCAGGAACTTTGGAAGACCTTAAAGCATTTGTCCTCACGGAAATTAGTGAAGAAATAGCCGAAAATACATCATGGCGTTCACCGAGCGGCGGGACATGGCAGTTTGATTCTAAGATGCTATCAGTTACATGGCATAGTAAAAGTGAAAATATTTACTTCAAAGGTGAAAAGGGCGGCGATCTCACCACACGAGTATATTCCTACGTAAATCTGGGGCTCGGGGAGAGTCATGTCAAACGGTGGTGAGTGGAAGTCCTACAGAAACCGAGCTAGCAAAGTCCATCGAAAGTCTGTTAGCTAGCAAGAATGAACATATGAATGATATTAATAAAACTAAAGATATGCCAACTAGTGTTGTTGTCAATTTTGTTGTTTTTGCAGTCGTAATTTTGGATTTTTTACATAATTTTTGGACGTCGACTATTTTTTTCAAAGATGTGCAGTCTGTACAAGTTATCCTTGTTCGCTAAAGACAATAAACCTAGATAAATATCGGCAAAGACGATATTTGAAGCCAGTTGAGACGAGCTGACAGCCTCGGACGGGTAAAATATAATATTTCACAGTTAGTGAGTTCTCGAGAACCTGAAATACTGTAAATATTTCGTGAAAAATTGGGATATCATTATATTTAAATACGATGGATAATGCTTTCAAGTTTTTGTTGCAGAAAAGTCGTGGACTTTATAATATAGTTTCATTTATTTTTATTAAATATGGCTGATATGTTATATAAATGGTTACAAATATTTCGCATGCTATAGTATATTAAAGCTAGCTCTTTGTATCTTGATATTTGTATCTAGCAGTATGAAACCATACATGTATCAGTATTTTGTGTATATTTACTAACTTTATACATGGAGCTTTTGTGGGGAATACAATGTGCATGATGTCATTTGTAGGAAGAACACAGTTCAACTAATGTGGAACACAGATGGCATTGTAGTTACTGTCTTCTCTGATAGTGTTTTGATAAAATTGCAATGAGGGGCTTGACACTTTATTTTTATCAAAGCTAGGGCATGCCCAGTGCCCACTCATTGCCACACTTAATCCCTCCCTTTCAATTTCAAGTGAGAAAATAAAAAAAAATCAATTTTCAATATTTTCTACAGGCCTACTAGGTCATTGTGATGAATCGAAATATTTGAGGAAAACTATATAACAATTTTACCAATGACCAGTCCCATATTTTACTGATTAGAATTCCTTTTTCTGATTTTATCAACAATCTTAGCAGAAAATTGGGGTGCACAGCCCCCTGCCCCACCCACAAGGTACACCCTGAGTTAAGCCATACTGTACTTCAGACACCCTTGGCTTCAAATTCAGTATTGTTTGACATAAACACGCCGCCGATTGGTTCGCAGATGACATCAACGCTGATGCTCTTGAACTGGAGATGAAATTAATTCGTTCCTCGAAGATGATCAAAGATATCCTGGCCAAGGAAACGAAAGAACGAAAGCCGTCTTTGGTTGATTTATACCGCGAACTTCTTCAAGAACCCGAATGCTTCCCCAAGAGTGATATTGAAAAACCCGAAGATACATCAACTAAAGAAGGTAATCCTGTGAAGGCTTCAAATCGACATCTTGATTTCAGTAACAGTATTGTTCATGAAGCCCAAAGTTCAAAGGAAGAAACGAACACAAACTTGTCAACAAGTGCAAATTTGCATAAAGAACCAATGAATTTGTATAGAGTGCCTCATTCCTATATTCCTTTGGGAGACCGGAACAAAAACTATAATCCGGAGTTTGAAATCGGAGCATTGAAATTTAAGCTGGAGAGCTTTGCTGAGAACGTCAACAGCAAATTTCAAGCTCTTACAAAAGAAGTGGCTGACATTAAAGAAAATAAAGTTTATTCGATTATAATTCTCGAGAACACTGTCCATGAATTAAAGAAAGGGAAATATGACCTAATCAAAGCTAACAACGACTTAAGAGAGAAGAACGAAGTATTACATAAAAAAATTTCGGATTTTAATTCGACAGTACAAAGATTGGAAGATGAGAAGCAGAGTCTAATCACA